GCACACCAGTGTTACTGTTTTTACACCACTGGCTTCCCAAATTGCTTATAAAATACAGCTCACAACTAGGAGCCATGTCCAGTTTTCCCCCACAGCAGATCTCTTGAGTCCATCAAGAAAAAGCTGTTGTTTTTTTTTTTCCAGGGTACACAGAAGGAACTTTGAATAGAGACTATAATCTGATTTTGAAAGATTCAGGATAGCAGGATCCCCTGGACAGCTCTCTCCAGTGGGAAATGGCAATTTTGTTCCAATGTCTCTTCCACACAGAAAATCTGCTGATTTTCCCTCATTCTGGGAGGCAGAATGCTGCTGTTGAGTGCTAGGATGCTATAACTGTGACCATAGCCTAAGCAGTTTCAGGATGACAGTGAAATGTGCATTTTTAAGACTAAAGGGAGAAGGAAAAGCCTGATGTCGAGACAGGAAGCTGATGAGTCCTGTAATAGCTGACTCTGCTACAGACTGTCTTCGTGAGAACAGGAGATGAGCAAAAAGTGACCTGCAAGAGACAGGAAGAAGCCCTGGGAAAAGCTGGCTGAATATTTTGAGAGTCAAAGAGAAGATCTATGGAAAAACTTACTTTGGGCTAATATATTCATGCTTCCAGTCTAGGATTATTTGTGAGTAACATGTACGTTTGTATAGGTCAATGTTATTGCACATCTTCAGGTGTGTAGGTAGCTATGTGAGGAATTATTCCTGCTTTGTGTGTCCATCATCATACTTCATGTGGTTTTTTTCATTATAAAGTACATTTATTAATTTCCAGATTTATTAAGTGCACATATGGATTTTATGGCAAATGATCCAGGTGTTACAAAGAATTGAACCTGACTCAACATCATGACTGCAAAGGTAACTTCAATGAGTTTAAAATAAGTAATAATACACTAAATTGACAACAAGGAGCAGCAAAAGTTTTCATTGAGCATACAGAATGACTTTAAGGGAAATTAAGCATTCTGCCATCCCTGAGGGACTAGGGTAAAATCTTCAGCATCCCAAAAGTAAGACATTTTTACTTAGCAAACAGAGTAGATGAACAGTCTCCCAAGCTAGTATCTTAAAGGAAAGTGCTTGGCTGTCTTTCTGTCATTAAATGGGGAAAAGGAGCATGCAGTCAGGATGGAAGGAGAATGTAACTCATCAGTGAGGGGAAAGTGAGGTCTTTGCAGATGTACATCAACTGCTTTGAACTGCACTCTGTCTACTTTTCCTCAAATACAGCTGTTTTTCAAAATATTTTAATGACCACATATTAAAATACTAGATGATAGACAAAATAGATATGTTTAAGATCTTCAAATAACTGAAGATATCCTACAAGGCTTAGTGGGTATAGGTAAGGAGTTAAGGTTATCCTTGAGAACCAAACTCTGCTTCCTTGCATGCACACCTATCTACACACACATATACCCCTCTGCCCCCAAATTTCAAATTGACTATACATGGCTATTTTTTGTATTAATAAAGCTTATTATGTGAGAGTACTCTCATTAAACTACAAAAGCAAGCATGACAGAAAGCTGCAAGGAAAAAATATCACAGCACACAGGTATTTCTGCCTCTTTCTAATTTCTTGGCACTATCCACACTGTGATTGGACCCTGTGTTCATCCCTCCTGCACCTCCAAAGTAGCTACAAAACCCATCTGAAAACCAGGGTAATGGTCTTGTGGTTGGTTGAGCTACATTAAACCCACAGTCACAGAAGCAACTGAAGTACAAAATGTCCCTCTGGTACTTAAGTTTTAGAAGTTTGCTCTTTACTTTCTGCAGCTCCCTTCACTCTCAGGGAGGTTTCACAGGGCAGCTGAACTAAGATAATAGTTACCAGCCTCAGAAGAGTGGTCTCACTCTTGTTTCTCCCTCATCCCACCTAACCAGCCTCAGCTGAGCACTCAGTCAGACACTCTCAGTGAGATGGTTTAATTTTCTGCAAGCTATTAATTACTGTAAATGATCCACAGGGCAGAACTGACACCCTCAGACCAGAAATGGACTTAAATCCTAAGTCCCCAAATCCAGCTGTCTTGTTCAGCAAGCCTGGTGAGCCCAGGTAGTCATCTTTCCAGACTGCATCCAGCAATGAGTAGTGATCCACAGCCTTCTGAAAGATAAGTATTATTTATAAAGGTATTTAGGTGTTTCCTCTCACCTAAGGCCAGCCACTTCTGGCAGTGTGAGCAGGGCTGCTGCTTCTGATTCTTCCCAGATCACAGCTCTGCCTCAGGCAAATTCTCCTGAACCATAAAATCCCATCTCTCAAAAGATCACCCTTTGAAATCTACCATCTACTTTTTTTTCTTCCTGTATTTAAGGAGCATTTTTTGCCCTGGTTCAAATGGCTGAAGAGGAACCTTCAGAGTTGATAGAACTTTCCTAAATGATTCTTAATAGTGTGCCAAGAAGTTTCAACCAGGGTCCTCCTTCTCCTTCTACTTCCCCCTTCCAAATCCTCCATTAAGTGAAACCAATGTATTTTTACAGTAAACATACCACTAAACTTGTCCATATATAGACTGATTTGATTATTATTGCAGGGCAGCTCTGATTTTTCCAAAGCAACTTATCTTAGTCATCACTATACAACACAGAAAAAGTCATAAAATGAGAAAGTAAAAAAGAAACTCAAAACCTTCTCTTTAACATTCCTCATTGACAGCGTCTTCTTCATGTATTTCACTTTGTTCTAAGTGTTTCTCCAATGCTTTATTAACTTGTTATACTCTGCCTACCATTGAAAGTGAGCCAAACAGGGTGGCATGCTTAGGAGGGCACATTTTTTTGATGCAATAAAGGAAGTGAAGTATCTCCTATGAACTTAAACTGCAAAGCTTTGGGAGATAGGAGAGAAGCCTGGGAAAGAAGAATGAGAACATGCTGAAAACACAGAGTGAATATCCATACTGAAAAATTACTATAGAATATATAATTACAAGTACTTGGGAGCTCAGTGTTTTGTCCCATCCCCCTTAAAAGCTGCATTGTGACAGGAGCCAGCATCAACTCTGCCACCAGCAACAATGACAGTTATTATTACTTTTTATAATATATGAATTCTCCATTTGTTCCTGCAGCTAATATGTCTTTTAATCTGGTACCAGCACAGCATAGGTGATTTCTGTTTTCACTGGCAACAGCATATTCCCTGCTGAGAAAATATGACTCGTCATGGAAAAGGCTTAATCTTGAAATTCAGCTATTTTTTGTTTCTTGGTGGCCTCTAATTACAAGCTTGAGGCAGTGCACAATAATTATCAGTCTGCAATCATGAAAAGGAGCAAATGCCAGTCAGGCTATATGGTTGCTTTGTGCACACAACAACATGTAAAGAACTCTGCCATGTCAGTGGTGGGCTGGCAGTTGCTTCTTCAGTGTAATGGCAGTGATTCAGCTGGTAACTGGATGAAAAATTGAAGCAGGTTTCCCTGTTATGATTCTTTCATGCATCTCTGTCAATGACAGTTTACATTCTGGGATTGAGATAATTTGTTTCCTGTTTGCTCACAGCTTCAGGCTTTTCTTGTTTGCCACCGTGGATTTACAGCCCTCCCCCCACAGCAAACCACATCTAAGGGGTTGAGGGATTACAAGGCTTAATACTTTACAGCTCAGCACATGTAGCAGAAAGTTAGAACTACTGTAAAAGGAATGATGACTAGATATTCCTGTGAAATAGATTCATACATGTGTGCAGATATGCATGTCTACATAGAAAGAAGCCCACAGGGCAGTCCACATAGTGGTGAGATGCTAGACTAAAAGCTTTAGTAGCAGCCTGTCTTCTCATAAACTGAGGCAAAACCTCAGAAAGAAAAAAAATTATAAATTCAAATAACCTCCTTTATCTGTTTTTTTTCCCCTAACCCTACTTGGAAAATGATAGCAAAGTAAAATACACCCTTCAAAAGACTTCTAACAGTCCAATTTTTCTGTAGTTTGATGACAAAAGTTGTTTCTGTATTCATACAGTCATTAAACATAAATGAGGGCGTGATCTTAAATATTTTACCCACATGCTTCACTACCACCAATACATGTACCTCTCCATGTCTCCCAGAAGTAGGGAACTGCTATTAAGTACACTAACAAATGAGTAAGCACTGACAGGAATGGTAAGGCTGGCATTTAACCCTTGCTAAAATTAAGTGGAGTTGATTTCAACCTTTAAAAACGTGACCCTAAGTTCTCAGAATAAAACATGAGTGTAAAGCAGTGAGACTAAAACAAAATGGTGAGTGTGTGATTAAATGGAGACCTGAATAGAAGTTGCCCAATCTACCATCTTTCTTACTCAGCTATCCTTTTTCTTTATCTATGAAAGGAAGTATTGTTTGTCTTTATCACTCTTGTCATGGTCAGCAAAACTGGGTGAAACACACAGTTTATTTGGTAAATGCCACCTGCTTTTTGTTTTTCTATTCACTAGCTGCTCAGAAGCAGTTCAGCTTTTCCTTGAAAGAGTATTTGTATTCAGAGAATTATTCGTGGTTGCCAGCTTATTCACAAGCAGCTCATTACGAGTGCTCACTCTTTAAGTACTTTGTTAATTTTGATTAGATAAATGGCTATAGGGTATGTTTCTGTCCCTGACTGGATCTCTAAGTGTTCAGTTTCTTGATTAAGTACTCGTGTTTACAAATTTACAGCTCTGTTTCTAAGACTTTTCTTAAATACTTATTTAATATACACTATTTCAAACATTACTGCCATAAGAAAATAAGCTTTGTCACAGCAGTTCAAGCAACAGTCTCTGGTGACTGAAGCTTTGGAAGGGGCATTACTTGTTTGAGTGAGGACAACTGAGGTCACCCTATTTGAAAATGCAAACATGATGTGTTATACAGGTTAGCTGTAAGAAAACTAGTCCTTAGAGGACTCACAGTGTATTATATGAATCCCTCTGAAGTCACTAGAATATTTTAAAATATAATGGCATAGTCAGATCATTAGAAATGTTTCCAAATGTCAACCACAGAATCCAATGCACTGACCTGCCCTGGTTCCTTTGCATGGTTCAGTGTTCCACAACTGTTGTTAAACTGTGTTCATCAGTGGGTTTATTACTGCTGATGTCATCAGAATTGTGCAAAGAAGCTTTTCAGAGGTGGTCTTAAGCACCTAAAATGAGACAAAACACAGCCATATTAGCCCTTTTTTCCCATCAGATTCACTCGCATTTACTGTAGGTTGTGAGTGAATACGAATTGTAAGAATGAAGATGTGCCCTTCTGGGGAAATGCTATTAAATGGGATCTCAGGACCAAGTCCTGAATTAGGGTGGATTTGAAATATCATTTCCTTATGTCAGATGAAGTCAAGCAAAAGGGCCAAAAGGAGGTAAAGGACAACAGAGCCTACCAGAGGTGGGCCAGCAGAGGCAGCCAGGGAGTACAAGTGACATGAAAAAAGCAAACCTCCTTTGCAGCAACTGTGTTAAAGCCACTGTTCGAAATGACCACGAGTAGACCCTCCCGAAAAGAAAGGCAGGAAAAGGATAACCCACTTCTGCCAACTGAGTCAAGCCACAGTCTCCACGCAAAACTGACACTAAGTATTTTACTCTTTACAAATAGTCTTTATAATTGGGATTTTTAAATAATCCTTCTTAAAAGGGATTGCAGCTGTAATCAATTTGTGGAGGGCTGTTTTAATAAGAAGCTGCTCGAATAGGATTAACTATGAGACCCTAGACCTCTTTCCTCCAGTCCTTAAACTCCTATTTGAAACATTTAGATACCCCATAAATTATTTATTGGTCTTACAAGGTGTCATCAAGCTAAGAAAATGATGCTTGACAAGTTGAAAACCGTAACCATTTCCACCAATTTGTTAACAGCCTCTCCCACATGGCATGTAATGTCTCACTTCTGCCTTGTCTTACAGGAACAGTAGTTATATTCACCCATTGCACCAAAAGCACATGTGGAGAGCTGTCAGACCTTGTGCATTCTGTTTATTTCAGGAAATGTTCCAGAAAATAATTTATAGATAGCTTGAAAAGAGAATGTCAGAGTGGATTTCCTTTTTCTTGCAAGGTTCTTAAACAACAAGGGAACAGAAAAACCAGAGGTTTTCACCCTCTCTGTCTACAGCCTCAAAAAAACCCCCAGTTGACTCTTTGATTTCTGAACTGCACAGACAAATAGATATACAGGCATGCTAGAGAAAGGAATACAGGTAAAATCTATGGATTTTTCTTTTGCCAAGAAAAGAGGAATCCCTCCTTCACCTAAAGTACATCTCTCAACAGCCATATCAGTCAGCTAAGGTTGGCAGTAAGGCTACTGGAATTTTTCTTTGCAGGGCTTCTCCAGCAACACTGGTTAGGGAAGACTTCTAAAATGGTAGCAGGACAGGGAACGTATTTTTCTATAAGAGACCTATCTCAAGGATCACTTCAAGCATGCATTTAGCAAATATCTTAAGTCAGTCTTTATAATTCTGATTATTTGAGAAGGACAGAAACTCACTGCACCTGAAAATAGGTTTTTGCTCATCACTGCTTCTTGTGGGAATGTAACACAAGGTTTCATGCTTGCTTTCATCTGTAGGGTCTTAACAAACTGACTCCCATTCTGACAATGTTCAGTCATTAGTTACAGCAGTTTTGTGGGGATCTTAGGTCATAAGCACCTTGTTTAAATAGTTTGTTAGTTTTGTTTTGTTGGATTTTTAAAATTTATTTATGTATTTACTTTTTACAGCCAGCATGAGATTATAGATTTGATCCATGGTGCAACCAAGCTTTGTACCATGAAGCAGTCCGTGTCAATGTATCACATAAAGCAATTAAAAAACTGGTTAAACAAAGACTTCAAAGTGTGAAGCTCTAATTTATTACATGCTGTTTATTTACTGTATTATTCTACTAATACCAGATCAGTCAGCCTTTAACAGCAATAATAAAACTGCCCATGGGACCAAGGCTCGTGGGGGAGTGACCTGTAGTTTTGCAAGTGTACAGTTTCCACAGACAGAATATCTGAAACTAAATCCACTTAAAAGCACAAAACGGTGGAAACTACAGATGCACACAAGTAAGGTTTTGTCTGATCTACTTCCTGATATAATTTCAAGTTCACTGAACTTCTTTGATGTTTGGTCATTTTAAGAGACAGTGACTGCGAAAGCTTCTCTTCTGTTCAGTCATGGTGCACGGGACACAGAGGAGAGAAGAACTACTATATCTGAGTTTATCAGATATTTAAACATTGGGACAGGGTGTGGTCATTTAATAGAAAATCTCTCTTTGTCTTAAAAAGGGAGGAAACAGAATACAAAGTGAAAAAAATAGGAAAAAAAAATCTATTTTTACTTTCAAAAATATTTAAGCTGTTTGTTTCTGACTCTTTATAGACACCATGAGATTATGGTTTGATCCTTTGTACAAGCCATCTGTTTAGTATGAAGCAGTGTTAGTGTATCACATAAAGCAATTAGAGAAACTGGTTAAACAAAGACTTCAAAATGTGAAGTCTCTGGCAGTCCTGGCAAAAATATTTAAAATACAATACAGTACCTTTTCTACAAACTGCTCTATGAAATGGATAACTCCCAGCAGACTGGAACCATTTGCATTGAAAACACAAGCTTAGATTTAATGCAAGAAAGTTGTTGCTCTCTGCCATCTTATTTTTAGATGCTTGTATATGATTTTTAAGCCACTTGAGTACTTTAAAAATAAGTACTTCTGCTTCAAATGTACAAACTTGAACATGAGGACCTCAGAAAAAATATGAGGTGCAAATAGTGCTTTCCCATTTTCTTTTGGAAAACTTGATTTTGGTTCTTAAAGTGTACAAATAGTCAGCCATAAAGTTACTTCAAATAATAAAAGGAAAACACATCTATTAGAAAGCTGCAATTTACAGGTGATGAACATTCCATAACAAATGCCTGGATATGCAGAAACATTTGAATATGAGTTTTCCCTTGTTCTAGGTAATTTGCAGAGTTTTTATCATAGTACAGCTCTACTCATTCAACAAAAACATTCTGTGGTTTTAGGCGTACACACAGAAGCAAATGAGTGTAAAAGACACAGAAAGCAGGGGGGAAATGAAGAATTTCTTGAGCTGTTAATAGAAAGGAAGCACACTGGCCTAGAAACCCCTTTTTGTTTATAATTTCATAAACGGAGTCAGTAGCCTGAGACAAGCCTGTCACATCTTTGGCATAGAACAAGGGTCAGTGATGGATAACTGACCTCCTTTCTCACTTTTATCAACAAATGTCAAAAAAGGCAAACAACAGCAATGACATCCTGCCCAAACAGCCAAGAGTGTTTCATTTTCTTTGCACTTCTGTTTCCTCTGTGCCTTTAATCAGGGCCGGGGGATGTAATTGCTCTGTCTGGGCACAGCTTAGGGCATGCTGTGCAACTAACAATTAGTTTAGAGGCTGAGATCTATAAATTTTGAGAAAAGAGTAAGAGGATTTGGTGTGCTTGAGCTATCCTTTCTAATGAAGAAAAATATCACACCGGAAGGGACCCAGAGTGTTATCAAAGCAACTTAATATCATCTGGTAGTGATTTGTAGGCCCTCATAATCTATTGTGATCATGTTGAAGGGGGGAGGAAAAAGTCCACGTGTTCCACTATTTATGAGATTTCCCAAACGATGGCCGCCATCTGTGCAAACGCCGCTAATCGCAGCCACCGCCTTCATGGCAAATGGCTCCACGAGACTGTCCGAGGGAAGGGAAACACTGCAGGAATGTTGGCTATTTATTGTTTATAAAAATAAACCAACTGGACTAAGACATATGCGAGGAATTTATATCAAACAGCTGCAAAAGCAAGTTGCCTCAATAGGGAGGGTGCATCGATGATGCAATCGGACCACACTGAAAGGTTTTCCTATTAATCTTAGAATACACATGGTACACTTGAGATACTTTGTCCCCATCTACACCCAAACTCACCTTACATGGATATTCTTCAAGCAATTTTTGAAAACAGTTTATGTAGTCTGAAACTGTTTTATTATGTGAGTTTATGAACTAAATAAATATAAACAAAGTCTAAGAACAGTCTGTCCCCATAGAAGCTCACCTCTCTTAAACATTTCCTCGTTACTCTCTTAGCTAAACAAGCACAATGCAGATACTAATACTCAGTGTTTGTGAACCATGCAGACCAAGTTTCTAAGACTTGAAAATTTCTTGGTTTATGGTTAGCAGTCTAGTCCCACTAAAGTCCTTTCCTAACTTCTTAATGAAGAAGAACAAATCCATCACAAAAAGAAGCAACATTCACTGAGAACAAGGAGTCAAGAAGTAACCAAATAACACCAAAACGACAAACAGTGTCTCAGCAAACCCACTAAGTACAATATTTTAGTGTTGGGCCTGCATAACAGCATCAGACAAAGGGGAAAAGAGATCTGATCAGAGAAACAAGCTTCTTGCCTTTGCAAAGCTAGTTTACCAAACATGCTTGACACCTGACAGAATTTTACTTTTTTAACTGTTAATGGCCTGGTATACATACAGAAACCTCTGGGAAAATATCTTTTTAGCTCTCCAAGCTTGAAAACAGCTATCTTTGCTTTTCATTAAAACTGCATGCACTTTGAAACAACTGCCTTCAGGAAAACTCTCAAGCTGATTGACTCTAACATGAGAATTAATTCAGACTGCTTTAGTGTGTGGAAAAGGCTCCACAGAACAGTGTGTCAGAATTCGGCCTTTCCATAATACAAACTGGCAAGGATTGCTCTTTTGGGAATCCTGCTCAGCTGGAATTCAAGCACTTTGTTTGACAACTGATTTTCAAGGTGTGTGTCCTTTTCTTTTAAACAGACACATGATGCTTGAAAGCCAAGGTACAACGGTGCATATGTACATATATATGAATATGAAAAGGACAGTTCCTAAGAAATCATTTGCTATATCTTGTGAGTGTTACTTACCCATGCTGACACCAGAACTTTCTAGCTAGAAGGAAGGAAAAGTGTTTTGTTTGCTCAACTTGTTTAAAAAGAGTGATCATAAGAGCCACTAGTAGATACCAGTTGTGTTTTCTGACTTCTGGAAGACTCTAGGATTTGGGTCTTCCTATTTTTTAGGGTAAAAATTGTTGCACAGTATTTTAGCTCAGGCACATTAACAGTGAG